CACTGTCACTGGACAATGTCTACAGGGTTTCCTGGAGCTGAAATAAGGAACCTAACCCACCCTATTCATAGAATACATTTGTAGGTTCAGTGACTCCCTTGTACAAAAAGAAATTTCAGGACTAGACAGTAAGAATTGTGGGATGGGTTTTTTAGGCAGATATTTAAGAAGTATTCACTCAAAATAATAGCCTGGGGTTCCTGTAGAGAGAGATAGCACTACAGTTTGGAACTGGGAATATTTTTGTCTTTTTTTTTTTTTTTTTGGTAGAAATCTGTGGCATTTGATGATCTGTTGTTTCCTCTTGGTTTATTAGGTGGGGAGGATGGTCCACCCACAGAAAGGTAATGATCTATTCAGAAGGGAAAGCCTATTTTATAGGTGAAAAGGTGGCTTATTCCTAGTTTTTGAAAAACAACTCAGACTGAAAGGGAATTAATTGCCCAGGCTTATTATGTTCTGGGGGTAGAGAAAGAATTTATTTTTAAACTGGGCTTATGTCTTCAAACTGCAGTTTTCAAGTTCCAATATCCCAAGGTGGGAGTAATTGGATGTCCCAGATAAAAAAACATTTTGCCCTTCTTCCACCATTTTTGTTCTCTCTGAGCTCTCATCAGATTAGATGATGCCCACCTACAATTCTGAGCCTGATCTTCTTTACTCATTCCACTCATTCAAATGCATGTCTTTAAAAAATAACCCTCAGAGATACACCTCAGATAATGTTTTAACAACTATCTGAGTATCCCATAACCTAGTCAAGTTTGACTTAAAAATTAGCTATTGTATCTTCTAATATATCTACTAGGGTAGCATTCAGATATAAAGATACAAATTTAACTTAAACTGACCATCATTCTACTGATAAATATATTCACTATTACATATATAACATCACAGTGAAATTGATATAAAGGTCATTGTCATTGTAAACAATACATTTCTACTACATGCAAAGAGCAGGGTATCATGCTAGTAGCTATCATAATATTTATATTCTAATCCTAGATGGATAAGTGCCTTTAATCTAGTTTCCACAACAATATAATTTACATAATATTATTTATCTGCCTTTATGAAAAGTTTGTCTCAGAAATATGGAATGGCATGAAAGGACAAGCATATTGTAAATTATAAAACCCTATACAAATGCAAATTGCTAATGGTAAAGTCATTTGTAATATCAGATTATAAATTTCTTCAGGGTGGAGATTAAGGCTTTACTGATGTTTGTATCAGTCACAGTGTTTACCATAGTGATAACCAATATCTTCCATGTAATGGCTCTTCAAAAAGTAAAATAAAAATCTTCTTAGTAAAATAAAGGTCCAGAATGGAGTGATATTGTCCTGTACTATTTTACTTGCCGTTCATGTACACTTTGGTGACTTAGTTGTAATGCTGAACCATTTCAGTGTGGACTCAAGCCATCTATCCCTTTTACAAAGTAATCACTTTAAAGATAAGTGGAAGACTTACATACTGCACTGCTTTCCATTTGTTATTTCAGAGATGAAGCATTCCCAGAATTGTAAATTTTCTCACTTGGGTATACAGACGCAATTTCAGAAATCAATTTTTTTTCTAAAAAACAAATCTATAAAATGTGCATTACTACATGAACATGTTTTATCTGATGAAAAATTGTATTAGGATAAGTGGGACACAAATTCTTTTGCTTGTTTTTATTATCTTTGTCTGCGTTTTACAGAATTTTTTGAAACATACAATTTAATAATTTGCATTGCAAATTGATTATAAGCAAATGACTGTGACAAACTGTTTCTACTTAGCAAGTCTTTACCAGGAGTGTGCCTTACCCCCATGGAAGAAAGGCTACAAAACAAAAACAACCCTTTCATTCTCTGCTAAAAAATGAAGAGTATTGTCTCATTTCTGCTATACCTAACCAGGTTGTTTAACATTTAATATATTTTTAAAAATAAAAAATATATGATGATAGTCTCAAAGGTAAAATTAGAATGTTTATGAATCATCATATACCCCTTTGTGAATAAAAAGTATAGGCTGTCTGAATTCTATTAATTCTTTCAGGTCTATTAATAACAACATGAACTTGAAGGTTGAAAGATTTTAATGTCACTGCTTAACAGAGAAAAGCTTGTTGTGCTGCTAATATGAATGCTAATAGTTAAGTAGCACAAAAATATGGACATAGGTAGTGGTGTCTCATTTTTAAAACCATGGTGCATTTTGTAAATGTCAGCTACAAAGTAATTTTCCAGAAATGGAAAATATAGGCCTGGCCATTATGTCTTTATCTTGAGGGCTTGTTTTCTTCAGATGCCCCTCCAGCCACAATTCTGTTGTCTTTATTTTTTCTACGGACTTCCTTGACAGCCCAGTCCCTTTGTGACTATATATTAATTTCTGTGTAATTAAGCTGCCTATAATACCATTAGCCTCCTTTTACACTTCCCATCCACTTGCCATTGTAAAAGTAGATCTGTGTTCCCATAGAAAATAAATTTGGTCCCCAGTTATAATAAAACATATTGAAGAATTCAGAAAACCCTATGAAACAAAGTATTTCAAGGCACAATTATCAGTTTCTGATTTTAAATAATTCTACCACAAAACATTAAATACTGTAGTGGATTTCAAACCATTATAGAATATATTGTGTCATTGATATAGGGGAAAAAAATGTAAGTCACAACCTGCTAGACATCGAATACACTGAGTGCATATCCCCTGAAATTGAAGAATGAATTCCAAAGGACAAAGGAATTTAAGAGTAGGAAAGGTTTATTGGGAAATAGGAATAGCTCCTGAGAGACAAACAGGGGAGCTAGAAATGAGTTGCCGCTGAGGCCCTGTGTCAGGTGTAATCTCTACAGCTAAGTCACAAGGTAGGTACACTGTGAATCAAACTATAGTCAACCTATAAGACTACAGGTATATCAGCTTAGCTAATATTGTTTCAATAGGGAAGCAGGTAATACAGCAAGTATACATAGAAAGAACAAAGACATTTTGGTGAAGGGATGGATCTGATGCTCTGGTTTCTCACCTGGGCAACTGATGTCTAGCTAGACTTCCTAGACCAGGTAGAACTAATTACAGTATAATTCCAAGTTGCTGCTTATCACTTAGGGAGGCATATAGGCCTGGCCCTTAAGTTTTTATCTTAAGTGCTGGTTTTCTTCAGATGCCCCTCCAGCCACAATTCTGCTATCTTTATTTTTTTCTACTGACTTCCTTTACAACCCAGTTCCTTTCTGACTATATATAAATTTCTGTGTAATTTAGCTGCCTATAGTACCATTAGCCTCCTTTCACAATTCCAAGTCTATTATTTTTCCATCTAAACATAAATTTTCCTCTGATCATTAGTAATTTTTAATGCATTGGACTAAAATTTTAAAATATTGACTTTTTCCCTATTCATGGTTAGCCTATTTATCTTTCTACAAAAATTCTTATCAATTAAAAATCAAAAGTTATTAGCCACAGAAGAACAAGAATGAAATGCCCCAAAATATCTACTATCCTTGCTTCTGAGTTGAAGGGCTTTTTTTTTCCCTTACTGGTGCTAAGTTCATGGCTGAGACTTCTATAACAAAAGATAGATTAACAAGAGAAAAGCATTACAGATTTATGGAATGTAAATTTTATGTGACATGGAAAACTGAAGCTCCCAATAAAAGGAGCAATCGTGAGAGAGTATGAGTTAACGAAGGTGAGAGGTGGGGGAAATTTAGTAATGTATTTAGTAATGTATCAGTTCAGGTCCTGCACTGTGTCTATGTACCTGAAGAGATAAGGGCAACCCGGCCCTCCTGGTTATATAGGGTAGGCAGTTCTATTTTGAGAGTATTGTTTATTACTGGCTTTAGAGGCACATCAGAATGTTCTTCTCTGGCTGCTTCAAGGGTGAAGGGAAACTTACTACCATATGCCAAAATATCATATTTTGGGATAGTATATCCTGAATATCCTGAACTCCATCACTCTTTCTTCCTTCTTCCTCTCTCCCTCTCTTTTTTCTCTCTTCATTTGGGAGACTATCTCTCTCTCTTTATCTCTGTCTATATATTTGTCTATATATAGATAGATAATATGTATAATATTTATATAGACATATATATACACATTATCTATTGTAAACACACACATATATATACAACACACACACACATATAGAGACAATGGAGAGATCTACAAATGTATAAATATAACCCATACATATAATTCACTATAACCTTTTTATCTCTATAGAGAACATGTATGAACAAGAGAAAACTATGTACATAGGTGGCACATACCTGTAAAACTATGTACATAGTTTTTTTCTCTAAATTTTTGGTTGCTGTTTGTTTCTACCTTACGTTATTCATAAAAAGATATGAAGTAGTTTTGTGGTATATATACCTAAAAGCTTTAATTTAGCAAACATATTGTAACAAATATACCCCATGTGCTTATACAATAAATAGTTCTGCCTAATTTAAAGATTTTCAAACTCACCAGTATGACTCTAGGAAGTTGTGTACTGAATTCCGTGCCCATCCCCTCAAATTCATATGTTAAAGACCTAACCATCCAGTGCTTTAGAAAATAGGAGACTTGAAGAGATAATTAAAATAAAACAAGGTTATTGGGATGCGCCCTAGTGCAGTGTGACTGGTGTCCTTATAAAAAGAGGAGATTAGGACATGAACAACACAGTGATTACCTTATGAGGACACAGCAATAGGGCAGTGATCTGCAAGCCAAGGAGAAAGACTTCATAAGACATCAAATATTTCAAAAGGTTGATCTCAGACTTCTAACCTTGAGATCCGTGAGAAAATAAATTTATGTTATTTGAGCCACTCAGTCTGTGATATTTTATACTGGGCAGCCCTACAAAACTGATAAACTGTTCAAGTATTTCTGGGTTACAAATCTATTTATAGAAGTGATGATCTAATTCAATCTTAACATCTGATTGCCTCTGAAGTACTATTGGTTCATGCTCCTTAACATGAAGGTACAGTTTTACAAAGACTGCCAGAGACCAATATGAAAAACTGTCCACCATGCACAACAACATGATCAAGCTCTATGAGAATCTTGGAGAATACTTCATTTTTGACTCTAAGACAGTAAGCATAGAAGAATTTTTTGGTGATCTCAGCAACTTCCGAACTCTGTTTCTGGTGAGTAATTCATTTTATAGCATTGACCTTCTTGTTGGCATTTTGTGTAACTATTGACCACATTGATTTCATTTTATAGTCCTTTAACAGGCATTGACAGATGTTTTGTACCTGTAATATGGATAAAAATCAGTTTCTGGCTTAATGTATAATTGAGATCTAAGTGAATTATCTTCAACTTCAGGAATACTTGGAAGTTTAGGAATAGTCCACCAAAATTGTATAGAAAATAAGTAAATTGGAACTTAAATGAGCCTGATTTTTATATAACATAATATTATAATTTCATCTAATTTAAAATTAATACTTAAAATAATTTTACTTGCTATATTCCAATGTGGTTTATGAACAACCTTCTTCTTTCCTTTTTATTTTTAATTTTTTTTTGGTGGTACTAGAGATTGAACCCAGGGCCTTCATAATGAGCCACATCCCTAGCCCTTTTTATAATTTTTATTTTGAGACAGATTCTCACTAAGCATCCAAATCTAGGCTCAAAGTTTCTATCCTCATGCATTAGTCTCCCAAAGTGCAGTGATTATAGGCATTGTCACCATACCTTATTATGGCCAAGTTCCTTTTGTAGTGTAAGTGAGAAACTGATTTTGAATCTATGTAAATATTTTAAAACTATATAAATTTTGAAACTATATATATAAATGTTCTTTAATAGCTAAAATTATTTTCATAATATGGGCTCTTATTTTAAACTGTAACTCTTGGAAATCACAGTAAATATTATCATCAATTGGTGGTAGACAGAGTACAAGTTAAGATCCTATACTGAAGCAAAACCATTGCCATATAAATACCGTGTTGCCAGGTATGGTGGCGCATACCTGTAATACCAACACTTGGGAGGCTGAGGCAGGCAGATTTCTTTGAGTTCAAAGCCAGCCTGGAATATGTAGCAAGACCTTGTCTCAAAAAACAAAACAAAACAAAACACCCAAAATATGAATGCTATGTTAATATATCTCTTCTGAATCCAACAAAGAAATAAAAGGAAGACCACAGACTCTATGATAGAAACAGAAAAATGTGCATAATATTTGATATCAGACAATAAAGTTTCCATATTTAAAAGAAAGATCTCTTATAATTATTCTCAGCCAGAAGATCAGTTTGCAAACAGATTTATTACAGGTCAAGGTATGTTTCTCTCCCCAAAGCAGTTATTTGTTAAATAATATTCCTTATCTTAATCACTGATGTTTCTTCCATGAAATAATTTTATTTTAGTGTGACTTACACAATCTATGAGATGCAGTATGCTTGCAGAAACCAAATTGTTTTCATCTATTTACCCAGGACACATAAACCACAGTACATCCCAAGAGTTAAATGAGAAACTTTGGTAATAGATACTATACCAAAAAGTTTTATATATTATTATTGTTATTATTATTGTTATTGGTTGTCATTTTTGTTGAGCATCTTAGCTGATTTTGGTTCTTGCCCTTTATAGAGATACTTATTTAACTCTATCTGACCAATAATTAGTGGAAACTATTTTATTAGCAATGAGAAGAGGGTTAAGATAAAGCAGTCAAATTATCTTTAAAAATTAAAAGCTATAAATATGATATGAATACATAGACACTGCAGTTATATCTTCCTAGATTATTTTCAGTAAGTAAAGAAAAATAGTACCATAGTCTTCTCTTACTTGTGGTATCACTTTCCATACTTTCAGTTACTCATGCTCAACTGTGATCCAAAAATAGTAAACAGAAAATTATAAAAGTAAATAGCTCCATTTAAAAATACTGGTTTTGGGCTGGGTGTGGTGGCACATGCCTGTAATCCCAGCACTCGGGAGTCTGAGGCAGGAGGATTGCTGTGAGTTCAAGACCAGCCTTGGGTACAGAGTGAGTTCCAGGTCAGTCTCAATTACATAGTGAGACCCTGTCTCAAAAAAAAAAAAATACTGGTTCTTTGAACCTTGAAACCTTGCCTTTCACATTATGTACCTTGTTACTTCATTAATACCCAGGTACACTGTGGTAGATAGTGTATTTCAACTAAGTTGCAGTGTTCTTCCAAGAATAATAATGTTACAGCCTGTGTGTAATCATATTAGCCAGCTGTTTAGGAGGCTTGCTAAAAAACTATTCTTATATTTCTTTCATTCATAGCTTGTTAAAAAAATATGGACATTATTGTTAAGAACACCCAATTCTGTGTCCTTGTACTCCCACTAATAAGCTCTGTAACTTTAGGTATATCATCTATACTTTTTAGTTCTTAATTTTTTGTTTCATTTTGTTTTGTTTGTAAAATGAAAGACCTAGAATATGAGTCTCTATGAACTTATTCCACTTGAGCAGTTTATGAGTCATGGTCAGAATTTCAAAAATGACAGAGTAGTATGTACTATGTTTTTTCTATCTGCTGACTTCACTGCCCGTGTGACTTGAATACGGAGAAAGAATTTATCACTAATCCTCCCTCTCATTATAAAACAAAATCTGACATTCTTATGCCTGGCTTAATATGCATTATACTTCCTCAGAGCCTGTTCAGATTGAATTTCAAAGCCAATAACCAGATCCTACAATATGTCTGCCAATCTGAAATACTTAATGCAATCCTGCCCACCCATTGCTGTTTTGGCCTTGCATAACATAACTGGTACCACTTCTCTCTATGAATTTTTATCACCTTACTGGCATGAGAACTTAGTGTGCAACTTATTAGCAGTCTTGAACTTAGGTAGGTCACGTAGTCTCTCTAGACATTGGTTTCCTTGTCTATAAAATATAGATGAAAATTATTGCCATGCCTTCTTGGCGCTGTGTGAAAAGAGCTTGTAACCTATGTTATGCAGATGTTCAGTATTATTAGCCATTTTCTAACCAGTCTTTCAATTATATGTTGAAAACCAACTTGATTTTTGATGATATTCTGGTCCAGAGAATAAGAGACTAGTCTGTTTCTAGCCATTAGTAGAGAGAAACAAAAGTGCAATGTAATTCAGTTAAGAGTTACCATAGTAATGTGTTAAGCTATGATAATAATAATAATACAAAGAAGGGACTGCCCATTTCTGCCTGTGTTGGCAAGAGAGGCTTTCACAGAGAATTTGACATTTGGGCAAAGTCTGGAAGGCATAGTAGTTAGACAAGTAGACTTTGACAAGCACTTTTAAGGGTTTTATAGCTGACCTGTAAGTCGAACACTCCTAAATCAACATCACCGACTGACGTTGATCACTTTTGCTCACCATGCTACTGTTTCATAGTGAGCATCAAGTGATTTCATGCTCCCAAGGGAAGGAAGAACCTTAAAAGAGAGACGGAATTGTAACTGCCAAAAATTCCCATTTTCTTAGTGCTATGTGTGTTTGGCCTCAGGGTTCTTAGCGCTAAAAGCATATTGGACTATAGATGGAAGCAATAAAATACCAGTAGTGCTGAGAAGAAAATAAGAGTTCTGATTCATGTGCTACCAAAAATTACTTCAAAATGACCTCACAATTTCATGTTGGGATATCTATTTGGCATGTGTAACATAAACAAAATGCACATACCAAAAAATCTCAGAAAGATTGCATCTACAAAATGGGGAAAAACAGAATAATAGAGGGATTGACTTTATGGATTAAGACCTTTCACCATAATTTTAAAATCAGCACATATCTAGGACTGGTGGCACTTGCCTATAAATCCCAGCACTCAACTTAAAGGCTGAGTCACAAGGATAACCACAAGTTCAAGGTCAACCTGGGCTATATAGTGAATTCAAGTCCAGCCTAAACTGCATAGTGAGACTGTATAAAAAAGCCAAAATAAATAAGAAAATCAGCACATAATATAAGCAAGGTTAATTAAGAACACTTAAATTCAAATGAAAAATTTTCTGTGAGAAAATTGAATTCCGTGCTTATGCAATGCTTAAGTATCTTTTTTGCTTATTTTCCTTGATGCTTCAGTCATCCTACTAGTTCAAATAGTTGACTGCACAAATAGTATCTTTTCTTGTGAGATATTTTGAATAGAATATTCAAAATCAGTGAACCTTGTATGTTCCACCACCATGCGATACCTTGCTTAGGCATAAAATTAATTTCAGCAGTTGGGAAAGTGCTTGAGGCAAATATTATACTTCAATAACTTTCATAGCTCCAAATATATAATAGAAAGTACTTCTTTTCTCTTTTAATTCTATTAGTTTCCTCCTGCTTTTGGGTGTTTTGTTTTTTCCTTTTTTTAATGAACAATATGTTACCCAGCCACTCAATAAATATTTGTTGTGTGTGTCTTCATGCTATGCCTCATATACTATAGCAATATAGAAATAATGCTTTGTAAGGGTTTTTGTTTTGTTTTGTTTTGTTTTAGAGTAGGAAAAATTTATTGAGAGAAAGGTAGCTTCTGTCTGAGAGAGACAGAATGTGGTTTGTAAGGTTATTTATTTATTTTTTTTTGGTTTTTGAATATTTTGGTTTTGGTTTTTGTTATTTTCAAGAGAGGGTCTCACTTTGTAGTCCAACCTGGCCTTGAACTCGCTGTATAGCCCAGGCTTGCCTTGAACTTGTGGTGATCCTCCTGCCTAAGCCTCTAAAGTGCTATGTTTTTGTTTGGGGGGGACAGGGTCCCACTATGTAGTCAGACTTGAACTCAGGGTGATCCTCCTACCTCAGCCCAAGGGCTGCGATTACAGGGCTGCTCTACTATGCCCATATAGGCTTTGTAAATTACCAGATACATTGAGATAACATAAAAATAAAATATTATATTTCCCTTCAACAAAATAAATATGTGCAACTGTTTATTTGATTAATAAACTTTGGAATAGCTCTTAGATAAGCATGAAAATGGTTGAGTGTTAGGAGGCTAATTGGTATCAAGTAGTCATGGACTTTTATCTTTTTTAATCTATTTGTCTCCAAACTCACTGTTTTAGTCCTTAGCCACTTTTATCTCTCAGCTGGCCTAAAACAATGGCCTATGACACGTGACTGTGTTTATTTCTCTTATCCATTGTTTTACTTGTGT